GGTGGGGAGGGGCTGGGTGAGGAAGGGGCTACGAGCAGCTTTGGAGGTGCCCCCCGGGGGAGGGGGAACACCAGGCTCAGCCCAATCGGTGGGTTCCCAGTGCTTCCCAGTGAGGCCAGGCTGTGGCGTGGTGGGGAATGGCAAGGAATGGCATGGCAAGGAATGGTACGAGCAGCTTTGGAGGTGCCCCCCGGGGGAGGGGGAACACCAGGCTCAGCCCAATCGGTGGGTTCCCAGTGCTTCCCAGTGAGGCCAGGCTGTGGCGTGGTGGGGAATGGCAAGGAATGGCATGGCAAGGAATGGCGTGGAATGGCACAGAATGGCATGGCACAGAATGGCAAGGAATGGCACGGAATGGCATGGAATGGCATGGAATAGCATGGAATGGCATGGCACAGAATGGCAAGGAATGGCACAGAATGGCATGGCACAGAATGGCAAGGGGCAAGGAATGGCAGGGCACGGCACAGCACCTCTGCAAAGCCCCAGTTCCCCTCCCTCACCCCCCCTGCCATTCAAAGGCCTTTTTCTCCCTGTTCTCTCTGTGTCCCATTTAAGCCTCCTGAGCTTGGCCCCACCTGGGCAGCTCTGCCCCCATCCCTGCCCCCTGGCCCTGAGCTCCAACCCCAGCTGCTGGGGGGGGTCCCACTGGGGGGGCTCACACCTCTGTGGGGAGCAGGGGAAGGAGACAGGAGGGAGCCTGTGGGGTGAAAAGGGCTTCCTTGCACCCTCTTGCCTCCCCCTCCTCCTCCCCAGCAAGGAATGCAGAAGCTCCCCTGGTTGCTGGAGCCACAACTGGACATTCCTCCCCATAAACCTGATGGATCCAATGCCAGGAGCTTTCCCACCCCTCCCAGCTGCTCCCCATGTCCCTGCCCAGCCTTACTGGGGGCTCAACATTCAGGCTGCACCCCCCTCCCCACCTCCCACCCACCCAGGGATGCAAATCCCTTTTCCTGGAGCCAGCAAACACCCTGCAGCCCTCCCAGCTCTGCCCCCCCATAAGCAGTTCCACCCCCAAACTGCTGCCCAAATCCAGCTGAGCTCAGCATTATTCACCTTGCAAAGCCTGAAGGGCTGGACAGACCAAAACCAAAGCCAAGTGGCAGCAGGAAGAGACACCAGGACACCCCCTTGGATCACCCCCTTTTTTTTTCCCTTTCCAGCAGCCCCCTGATCCCTGCCTTGGCCTCAAATCTGCCTCCAAAACCCTGCCATGAATTTTGCCACCTCATCCCATGGGGGGGGGGAACAGGGTCGGGGAGGGGGTTGGTGTCAGAGCAGGGCAAAGAGCAAAGTCCCCTGGAGAAAGTGGCAGGAGGAAAAGTGCCTGGAATGGGCAGGAGGAGGAAAAAGGGGGGGGTTACTCACAGGCTGTGAGCCATGGCAGTCATCTTCCCAGCAGGGCTGCCTTTCCCTTGGGTTTCCATCTCTTTTCCCTCTGGAAGGAGAAGGCAAGAAGGTGCTCTGTGAAAACACACACACCCCCCCACCAGCAACGTGGCTTCAAGTGTCCTGAAGCCACCCCAGCTGCTCCTTGCCCTGGGGGCAGGAAGGCAAGCACTGCATGTGCCAAGAAGTGGCCTGGTGTGGGGAAGAGGGTTGTCCCTGGGGATGGGAACAGCCTCCCTGCCAGGGCCCTGGGCCACCTCCTTCACCATGGAAAGGAGCCAGGAGGGAGTTGTATTGATCTGTCACCAAAGCCCTGAGCTGGGCTTCTCCAGGGTGGTCAAGGGGACCCCACCCCCTGTTCCAAACACCTCATTTTTGGGCTGAGAGCCTTCATAGAATCATGGGATGGTTTGGGTGGGAAAGGACCTCAAAGCTCATCCAGATCCAACCCCCTGCATGGGCAGGGACACCTCCCACCAGCCCAGGTTGCTCCAAGCCCCATCCAACCTGCCCTTCAACACCCCCAGGGATGGGGCAGCCACAGCTTCCCTGGGCAACCTGGGCCAGGCTCTCACCACCCTCACAGCA